GGGAGAGGATGTTCATACCAGGTCTGACGGCATGCTGTCTCCACCCCAAGCAGACAGTGACCCAAGGCCCAGAAGGGAGGTCCCAAGCAGACAGAACCTGATCCTCTAGCATCACCCAGGCTCCAAAATGCAGTCCCCCAGAATCCCCAAGACCATATTCACCAGAATTACTGAGGCTTAATTAACAAAATAGACCACTGCTGCCATGAGAAATCCAGATGGGACCCGTGTCAGATGCCACTGTCAACCTTTTCCCCAAAGTCCCCTGGACTCAGGACAACAGAGGCCTCCTCCCTTCTTCTTACCCCATCCTCTTCTCAGGGAACCCCAGGAAAGCCCGACATCTCACAGAGCCAATCCTGCCTCAAGCACCAGCTTATGATTACAGACATGTTGACCAGAGGGATTCTTCTAAACTAATTCAGATTAAAGTGTCACAAATCGAAAGCTTGTCATAGAGGACCTAGGTTTTCAAATTGGGTCAGACTGCAAGACACCTCAGACAGGGTCAGAAGGGACATGTGTGCAGGCAGTACCAAAGCTCAGGACCTGCCCTATCAGCAGTGGCCTTAAGGAAGTGCTGAACCACCCCAAGCCTCAGTTTACTCATCTGAAGGATGGCAACAGTAACAGCACTGACCTGGGCTACTGTGAGAGTTCAGTAAGTAACTGCGTCTCAGCACAGTGATGGGCACAGGGCAGTAACTCAGAAAGGATCGCTGTGGTGCCAATTTGAAGAAAAGCAGGAAATATTAAGGTATTCGACCGAAGGTCACAGCATATATTACACTGTGCTAAGTCAGAGACCATTTCCCGCGCAGCCCAGCGGCCGCAGGTGCCAAAGGTTTACACAAAAGCTCTGGGGAGAAAGACTGAAGACTGCGAAAATGCTCTCCACTAAATGAACGTTGTCTGCAAACTGGGAAAAGACCACCATTAGTCAATTTGGCCAGCACAACACCTGGGGTCCTGCTGGAAAGAGCCTGGTGTTGAGAATGGAGTTTGGTAAGCTGGCGTTTCCCCTCAGGGAATGGGCTCTAATGGGGGGATCCTGGCATGCGGTGGGCCACAGGGAAGCCACAGTGGAGCACCGGGATCTGCGTTCCAGTCCTGGCTCCCTACCAACAGAAACTTCCTCTCTCGAGGCCTCAGTTTTCCCATCTGGAAGACGGTAGAGTTGGGCTGAGAACATCTTTCTCCAAGAAGCCCTCGGACTTTCTGGTCCAGGGAGTTGACAGATGGCCCAAGGCCCCACCCCAGACATAACCTTGCAGGCCCCAGGAAAGTCCCACTCTGAGAGACCAGAAGAAAAGGGTTGGTTCATTTTGTGGCCAACACTGGAACAGAATCACAGGGTCTTGCCTCTGAGGGGTTTGCTTCCCTGCTTGACAGGCCATGGAGGCCAGAGCAGTCCAAACACAAGAAATAATAAATCCTACCCAGGCTCTGCCCAGTCAGGAGGCCCGGCTGGCTCTTGTCATAAAAAGATCTTATCCCCATGAGCACCCGGTGCCCAGCGTGGAGGACTCCACCCTCCTCCCCTCAGCCCTCCACCTCTACTTCTATTTCCTGTGACAACCTGCAAACTGAAGACCAACTTGCCTCTCCACCCCCCTACCCACGCCCAGGCTTCTGCTCGACCCCAGCCCTGCCCCGCCCCCACAGGGCCCCAGCTGCAGGAGGCCCAGGCAGAGTGTAATTCCCCTTGCCCTCCTCTCAGCCCTCGGCCGGTCCGGACAGATTAAGCCTTTGTCACACGTACCCAGAAAAGCTCAGGGCCAGATGGGACAGGACAAGTGGTGTCAGATCATCGACCTGCTGCTGGCCTGGACTCAGGGAAGGGCCTCAACCACAGCCCTGCATATGGCTGTGGGAGGAGAAAAGGGGGCCCAGAGTGGGGGCAGCAACAGAGAAGAGAGATGACACACCGTGGCCATCCTTGAGACCCGAGCCCTTGCAAAGGACCCTCGTTCAGCTGCTGGATGACCCAACTCCCACCCCTCTTCTTTCCTGAAATTGTTCTGCCTGGTTTCTTGATCATATCCTCAGTTGTGCCCACCTCCTCCTCAGGCTGGGTGCCCATGAGCAGGCACAGGGTCCAACCCATCCCAGTGCCCCAGTGCCTGCACAAGGCCTGAGGATGCTAAACAAATGCCTTGGACAAAGGTTTATGGCCCAATGACCTTCATAAAACCCACCCAGGACAAAACTATAGGATCTGTCCCAACTGTCACCAGAGGCAAAGATAACTTTAAGAAAGTGTGTGTGTGTGGGGGGGGAGGCAAGTGAAGGTGGGGAAATGTCCTCTGCACCTTTCAAAGAAGGTCTTATTCAGCCCCTCCCAAGAGTCCATGGTTGCCCCTGAATTCCCAGCAGGATTCTTTCCTCTTAGATCAGTGAAAAGGAAAATGGAAATGTAAAAATAATAACTGAGCACCAGGAAGGTGCTTGAAGATGGGGGTGGCAAGACTAGGGGCATCTCCTTCGGCTGGCTCCGGCTGGCTGGGCAAGTGGCAGGTAACTAACAGGCTCTCTGGGGACCAGCAGGCCAGGCGGGCGTGGGGAGCTCGAGGGGCGGGCTGTCACAGGAGGGCATGTCTGTTGTGTTTGTCATTCTCCTGGCAGCCTGGGCAGGGAGGCCTGGGTCCCCTTTCTCTGCCTCCCAGGCAGGTGGTCCCTTGGGGAAGGCTTATTATTGGTCTGGGAGCCAGGGTGGAGGCTTGTGAGGCCTCATGAAGGTTATGAAAGACTAGCTAGGCTGGCAGGACCCGGGGCCCAGACCTAGCACCCAATTTCTGCATGTGGCCTGTATGGGCGTGTGTGTTCTTGCTCCACCTTGACAGCTGTTTGGCTAAGGGGTTAAGGGGACTGTCCCATGATGCCCACTCCCTAGAGGAGCAGTTGACCTAAAGAACCAGTGAGCCAGCTGCCACATCTGAGGGTCCCCTGCCCCACAACTCCAGGAGTGGGTGCAGTGGGGCTCTTGCCTCAGACTAAGAAGTAGATTGGGCCAAGGCTCCCAGTTCCCTAGGGAGGGACAACCCTGATATGTGGGTAGGGGTGGGGCACTAACTGATCTGGGAAGCCTGGTCGGCTCAAGGCAATGACCCAGGGTAGGGGGACACAGACCCAGCCAACCATCTAGTAGGTCACTGACCTCCAAAACCCATGCTTAGGCTGGGGACACTAGCCCAAGATGGGGGAGAGCTGAGGAGGGTAGGAACTGGCAGGGTGGGGAGGGCTGACCTAGGCTGGGGAGAGGCAATGACCCATACTCCTGGTGTGGGAAAGTGGGCACTGATTTAGGCTGGGGGAGGGGTTCCCTGATTCGACCCGGGGAGGGGGCAATGACCCTGACTCCCCATGTTTGGGGGAGAGCACTGATTTAGGTTAAAGGGGTCCCTGACTCTCGCGGGGTGGGACACTGCCCCAGCCTTCCCCCTTCGAGCATTGGGCCCCGGCGCGCCCCTCGTCCTGGCCCTGTGCTCCGGGTCCGGCCCGAGGCGGCAGCGGCGCAGATGGGCTGCTGGCGGCCGCAGCGGCAGCAGCGCGGTTATCAGCGCTCCTCGCAGATGGGCCGCCCGCCCTCCGCGCTCACGGCTCCCCACTCCCCGCGGCCTGCAGCCCCGTCCCCAGGGCGCGGGGGGAGGCGCCTCCGGATCCGCTGCCTGGCTCCCGCCTCCCTCCCTCGCGTCCCCCTCACCCCGCGGGCCGGGCCCGGGTGGCCGCCGGAGGGGGAGGGGGAGGGGGAGGGGACAAGTGCACTTTTCGTAACGACCGAATCAATTGTGTGTGAAGAGCCCGCTCAGGCCGGGGACCGGGCTGAGCGCGGGGCGGGCGGGCCGGACGGGGGAGGAGCACGGAGGGGGGAGCGGGAGAGAGAGCAAGGGAGGGAGGCCGGCGCGGGGCGGCCCCGCTCGCTCGCTCGCTCGCTCGGGCCGGGCGAGGCCAGGGAGGGAGTGAGGGGGGCAGGGAGGGAGGCCGGCCCGGCCCGCCCGGGCCGGGGGCTGAACGCACTAATGGAAGGGTCTCCGCGACGGAAAGTTCAAAGCTCAGCAGCGCCCCGGGGGCAGTCGACCCCCCCCTGAGCCCCCACCCGCTGCAGAACAATGAGGTCCCGGCGGGGGAGCCGCGGGGACCGCGCCGCACGCCCTCTCCAGGGCGCCCCGGGCCGGAGGGGACGCCCCCGCCCGGCTGCCCGCCTCCTCCTTCCCAGCGGCTGCGGTTCCCCGCCCCCTCCCCCACGCCACCCCGCCCGGACCGGGCGGCCCCGGGGACGGGGGAGGGGAAGGGATGGATAGGTCAGGCCACCCCCGTCCCAGGCAGGGGGAAAGCTAGGGGCCCCGGGGGCGGAGGGGGCGCCCCACCCACCCGCGGGAGGCTGCTCCTGCGCCAGGCTGCGGCTCCGGCTGCCCCTCCCCGGGCCAGCCCCGGGTGGGGTCGGGAAGACAGTGCCCAGGCGGGCCCCCTCCCCGGGCACTGAGAAGGCGAGTGGACTCCCCGTCCCGTGGCTGCCCCTGCCCCCCCTCCCGCGGCACCACCCTCCACACACACACACACACACACACACACACACACACACACGCACGCACACACACCGCCCAGCCGGCCCGGGGGCGGGAGCGCGAGGCGCCCGGGACAGGCAGCCCCGGGCGGGCGGGGGCGGGGGGGAGGTTCGGGCTTCGGAGAAGCCGCCTGCTGGCGGGGGGAGGGGATAGGAGGACGGAACATGCTGGGGTGAGCAGCCCGGGACAGCCCGCCCCGCACGACCACGGGCCGGGCAGCGGCGCAGAGGGGGGCAGGGACAACCCGAACCCGGAGCGCTGCCTGGGCGGGCCGGGGCGGGTGGGTGAGCGGGGAAGCGTGCGCCTCTGGCGGGCCAGACCCACGGACAGCCTCAGGGACACAGGTTCGGACACACATCCACACCCCCCACCCCGCCCCCGCCCACCCCGAGCCCCGCGGCGGGACCGGCCCGCGGCCGCCGCGCGCGCACTCACCGAGCCCGTCTTGACCGGCACATACACCACTTGGCCCATCTTGGGTTCCCGGCCGCTGCCCAGGCGGAAGCCCTTGGAGCGCACCCAGAACTGGAACTTGCCTTTCTCTCCGGCCGCCGGGCCAGTGCCCGCGCCGGTCCCGCCGCCGCCCTGCAAGACCTCGGTGATCCGCTGGTATTTGCTGCGTGTCACCGTCTTGGTTTTGGCCGAGTCGCCGTAGGTGCGCAGGCACCAGTCCCGGAACTGGCGGCCCAGCTCCGAGTCCCCGGGACTGCGCTCGCGCTCCCAGCCCCCGCGCAGCAGCAGCGTCGGCTTCGGCATCCTCCCGCCGCGCCCGGCGCCCTCGGGGGCGGGCCGGCCGCCGGGCCGCCCGGTGCCGGGACTGGGCTGGGCTGGGCCGGGCCGGGGCGCGCTGCGGCCGGGGCTGTCCCGCGGTGTGGCTCCGGCGCGGTTGCTTGATGGGCACGGGCGGCGGCCGGACGCACGGGGCTGCGGCGCGCTCTGTCCTGCTCGGGCGGCGGCGGCGGCGGCGGCGTTGGCGGCGGCGGCTCCGGCTCGCCTCCTGCTCCGCCTCCTCCTCCCCCCGGCCGGGATGCAGGAGCGATGGAGGCAGCTCCGGGCCCGGAGGTGCAGAGGGGGCGGGCCGCCCCGCAGGCGGCCGGGGAAGGCGGGAGGCGGGGAGCGGCCCCGGGCGCGGGGAGCGAGACCGAGCTTGGGCACGGGCGGCGGCGGCGGCGGCTGTCAGCTCGCACGGCTCATCCTGCTCTTGCTCAGGCTCCCACTGCCGCTGCTCTTCCTCCTCCTCCTCCTCCTCCTCTTCCTCCTCCTCCTCCTCCCGCGCCCGCCTCCACCACGCCGCGGGATCCCACCTGTTAGAGCGTCGCAGCCCTCGCCGCCGTCCCCACCCCCCCTCCTGCGCCCGCCCGCGGGGCCCAGCCTCCGCCCCGGCCCGGCCCCTGGGGGCGCGGGGGCTGCCGCGCCCGCAGCCACTGGGAGGACAGGAGCCGCAGGCGCGCAGTGCTCTGCCCAGGGACTGAGTTCCCTCTGGCCGGGCCTGGTCCCAGCCTCCCAGGCCGCTCTCTGCCCGGACCTGGCGGACTCACAGGGAGTAGGGCACAGACCCCCAACCGGCCATTAGCGTCCCTGCCTCCCTGGGCGTCCCCGCCCGATTTTAGCCGGCACTAGCGGTACAAGGTAGGCAACTGGCCTGACCTCTCTGGTTCGAGCTCGGGGCCAAAAGAGCAGTGTTTCGCTGGGGAACCCTAACCGCTGCCTTTAGAGCCCCCCAAACTTCCTCCCCTCGGCCTCACCCCAAAATCCCCAAAGTTTGGCTAGCCTTGCTTCTGCCAGTCCCAGTGCTCTGGGGCAGCCCCAAGCCCCAGGGAAGTTATCAGCATTGGCCCATGGCCTCACTGAGGCCATCCCCACCAAGGCTTCAGGCAACACTCAACACACCCATAAATTCAGCCTGAAATAACCTGTCTTCGTGGGTGCACCCTGGCCTAGAATCTCTCGCTGAGTAAACTCAGGTGGCCTGCCATCCTCCTCTTCCCTGGGCAGGGCTGAGCTTGAGTAGAGCCAGCCCCCTCCCCCTTAATGAAATTACCAACATAAATAAAGGCACAGGCCAATTCCCCAGAATGTCTGCCCTCCTTTCTTAACAGGTCGTGAGGAATTGCTATGTTTCTCTCCCTGCTGTTCCCTGGGGTCTAGCCCACACATCCCCAGGCCTCTCCTGCAAGTCACCACTGAAGACCGAGGCCCAGATTTTGGCCAGTGCAGGACCATTTTCTGCCCAGGAACTACTGGCTACCCCCATCCCAAGGTCCCCCACCCTGGTACCTACAGTGTGCCATGTCCTGGCAACTCTGATAGGCAAAAAGGACTGGCCCGTTTTTACAGATGAAGGCCTGGGGCTTAGACTGGTGGCTTGACCTGCTCAAGGTCATTCAGTGAGGAGGAGAAGGTTTCAGCTAAGGTCTGTCTGGCTCTTGCTACCACATCACACAAGAAGTCTCCTTCTACCATCCCGCTGGGAGGAATCCCAACACTGTATGTGCCCAGCTCCCCTCCCCCAGACAGGGGGCTCAGGACCCATGTCTGACTCATCTCTATACCCCAGGCTCTAGCACAACACCTGGCACACAGTAGGTGCCAATAAATGCTGAAAGAACCCAAGGGGTTGTCCAAGTCCCAACCTCTCTCTGCATTTCACATATATTTATTTTTAGATAATTTACATTTCCATGTTACTTTATATACACCACCAACTCCACAATTATTTTTCTTCTTTATCTTCCTAAGAGCTCTTTTTGGTTCTATGTTGGCATGCCTATTTTTCAGAGATGACCACTGGGGCTCAGAGAGAGGAAGCCACTGCCCCAAGGTCACCCAACTCCAGGGGTGCAGGGGCTCCTGAATGATTTGAAAGCCCATGTCCTGACTTTTCCAATATACCCTTTGACACCCCCACAGCTGACTTCCTTCCTGAGAGCTAAGGTGCTCTAGCCCAGCAAGGGTGCCCTGGTGCCTAGGTGGTTAGGCCCCCATTTGAGCCCAGGTCTCTCTGCCCAGTTCCAAGCCTCACATTGAGCCAGACCACCTCTCTGTGTAATCTGGGTCTTACTCTGTCTTTCAGAATGTAACATTCAGATTGTCAATCTTGGGCTGAGTTCTAGTGTGGCAGGTGTGGTATAGAGAAAAGAACATATGCTTTGGGTAGAGTCAGATTTGGGATTATATCCTGACCACTATTTGCCATGGCATTCTTCATGCCCTTTGTGCCCATTGGCTGCCTCCCAACTGAATGAACCCATCAGTCTACCCTTTGCTGTGGGACCTCAGGCAGGTCACTGAACCCTGACTTCATCACCTGTACAATGGACAGAGTGTCATGGATGTAAAGGCTCAGCAGAATAAAACATGTGAGAGAGCCTGGCATATAACAGGTACCCAGTAAATGCCATTTTATCCTTCATAGAGACTGCAAAGTATTCAAAGAGGAGGATGAGCATTGTTGATACTTTTCATGTTCAATCCATTCAACACACATTTCTTGAGCAGCTATTGTGCACCAGGTGCTGGGGCTATAGCCATGGGGTCCCAAGGTCCTTGCCCTCTTGTACCTCACCAATGGGTAGGGGGAAAGGCCATTTAACAAACCAACTGTCAATTACTACAGCTTGGGGAAAGGGCCATGAGGGAAACAGCGAGCTGCAAAAACAAACAGTGGATGAGAAGGACTGGTTTTCTTAGGGGAATCAGGAAATGCCTTTCTGAGGAGGTAGATATGAGCCATGACTTAAATGAAAAGGAGCCAGCTATGCTATGTTATGAGGGAAGAGCATTCCAGGCAGAGGGAACAGTATGTGCGACGCCCCTGAGGTGGGAAAGAGATTGGCATTTTCTAGAAGCTGAAAGGAGGTCACCCTGGCTAGAGTGAGGTGAGTGAGGAAGGGTTGGAAGGCAGGAAACCATGGGAAACACTTTGGATTGCATTTTAGATGTGATGGAAAGCCATTGGTGAACTTTAAATACTGGAAGAGACTCAGGAATAGAAAGGAAATGAGAAGTGGAGGCCAGCTATAGTGGCCCAGGTGTCTGGTTAAGGGTCTTCTTGCAGGTCGGAGGCCTTGGTTTCTCCTCCCATGTGTCAGCTCACTCTACACCAGCCACATCTCAGCCTCTTGCCCCAAGTGGAGGTGGCTGAGCCAAGGAGTGAGAACCTCCTGCTACAGCCCATCCCCACTTCTGTGGAAACAGATCCCTGGACCTCTGGCCTGTTCGGTGGCATCCTTTAGCAGGGGTCCTACCCCAGAGCATGCCGGGTAGAAGGTACGTTTCTCACAATACCCAGCTGGGGGGTAGGGTGGGCAATCATGATCCTAGTGGGCAATGGTTCCTCCTTTCTTCCCATTCCAGAAATCTGCCAAAAGGACATGTATAGTAGGTTGCCCCATTTATCATTCAGGGGAGCCCCTGGATATATATTTTTTAACCTTTAGTCCAGCTGTCCAAGGGAGGCTGGGATCGAAGCAGAAGGAGTCCTGACTCCCAGGGCTCATGTCTACTTCCAATACTGACAGTAATATACTGGCTCACAAGAGCTAAGTGATGAAGGGTCTGCAGAGAGTTTATAGTTTAAACTGCTGGTTATAGATGGGTAAACTGAGTCCCACAGAAGGGAACAGGCTCAGGGCCACAGGCAGAGTCGGATACCTGACCTTTGTTTGGTTTGGCCCAAATCTCCTGCTTTTCACTGAGCTCTGACTCTGGGCCCAGATGAGTAGGAGTGCCTGCAACTCAGAGGTGAGGTTGTCCTAACCTGGCCTGAGAAGGGGCTGAGTCCCAGGCATGGGGAAGGGCAGAGTGACTCAGGCACCCACAGACGTCTATCCGCTAAAGGCTGGGAGGAGGCCCTGGACCCTTGCAGAAGGGTGATTTTCACTGCCAGACACTGGAGCCACCTCCATCATGGACTTGTGCAGCCATTGCCACCTCCCATTTCAAAGCATCTCCCCCTGTCTGCCTGGCCATACCAACCTGCTGTTCCAGGTCCACCTCATTCAGAAAGACTTCCTGACCCTTCAGCTTGGTTCAGGGATTTCCGTGGTTGCCCACAGACCCCTGGGCCTTTCCCATCCCAGCTCTGACTACACAATATCATGATTGCCTGGTTGTTTGTACCTACCAGTGCCCAGCATAGGGGCTGGGGTTTAATAATTATTGAATAAACAAGTGAGTGAATGAATAAATGAATTAAAGAATGAATGAATGAGCTGGTTCTCAAAATGCACATGCTACTCTGCCTCCTCCCAATCAATCAGTCTATTAGCATTTAGTGTGCTCTTCCTGATAGGCTCTGCCATTGAATGACCTTACATGAGCACCTTGATTTCTCTCAGCCTCCGTTTTCAATGTCGGTAAACTGGGGATAATAATGTTTCCTAACACCCTGGGTTGGTGTAAGAATAAGCATTCAATAAATGTTAGCTCCTATTATCACTATGTCCATCTAGCACTCATTCCAGTGCTGATGTATCCTGCGTGTGTCAGATGGCACGCCTGGTGTTGGGAATACAGCCATAAACAAGATGGACCTGGCCCCACCCCTGGTGAAGCTCAAGAACTAGCGGACTTAAAAGATTATGACAAATGCCCTGGCAGGGTGGCTCAGTTGGTTAGAGCTTCGTCCCATACACCAAAATGTTGTGGGTTTGATTCATGTCAGGGCACATACCTGTGGGTTCAATCTCTGTTCGGGGTGCATACAAAAGGCAACCGATCAATGTTTCTCTCTCACATTGATGTTTCTATCTCTT